ATATGTTCATTTTTTGGTGTCATATTTTAGATTCCACACATAAATACTATCATATGGTATTTGTCTTTCTCTTTCTGACTTCACTTAATATGATAATCTCTAGTTCCATCCATGTTACTGCAAATGGCATTACTTTGTTCTTTTATATGGCTGAGTAGTATTCCATTGTGTGTGTGTGTGTGTGTGTGTGTGTATATATATATATATATATACACCATATCTTAACAAAGATATTTTTCTTTCTTTCTTCCCAATCTATATACCTTTCATTTCATTTTCTTGCCTCATTGCTTTAGCAAGGGCTTTCAATATAAAGTTGATAAAGAGAGATGAGGGAAGATGTCATTGCTTTGTGCCAGATCTTCATAGAAAAGCTTCAAGTTTCTCACCATAAAGTTAGCTGTAGTTTGTCTTGTGGATAGTGTTTATCAATTTGAGAAAGTTCTCCTCTGTTCCAAGTTTACTGAGCGTTTTTATCATGAATAGGAGTTAAATTTTGTCAAATGCTTTTTCTGTATCTATTGATATGATCATGTGATTTTTCTTTTTTACCATGTTGATTTTCAAATGTTGAAACAGCCTGGCACACCTGGGATAAATTCTACTTAGTCATGGTTTATAATTCTTTCTATACTTTTTGGATTTGATTTTCTAATATTGTTGAGGATTTCTGTGTCTATATTCAAGAGAGATATTGGTCTATAGTGTCCCTTTTTTATGCCTTAGTCTGATTCTGGTGTTAGGGTAATGCTGGTCTCACCAAATAAGTTAGGAAGTTATTCTCTCTGCTTCTAGCCTCTGAAAAAAAATTGTAGAAAATTGATATAATTTCTCCTGTAAATGCCTTGTGGTATTCACCAGTGTACCCACGTGGGCCTCGTGCTTTCTGTTTTGGGAGGTTATTAATTATTGATTCAATTTTAAATAGTTATAGTGCCCTCTGAGCATCACTTTCATTGCATCCCACAAATTTTCATAAATTATGTTTTTATTTTCATTTATTTCAAAATATTTTTAAAATTTCTCTTGAGATTTTTGGACCCATGTGTCATTTAAAAGTGTGTTGTTTAATACCAACATATTTTAGAATCAGTATCTTTCTGTTAATTTCATTTTAGTTTAATTCATTGTGGTCTGAGCACAAATATCCTGTTTCTGTTCTTTGCAGTGTGTTAGTGTGTTCTTTTCAATGTGTTAAGTGTGTTTTATAACCTCGAATATAGTCTATCTTTGTGAATGCTTCATGTGAGCTTGAGAAGAATGTGTATTCTGTTGTTGGATGAAGTAGCCTATAGATGTCAATTACATTCGGTTGACTGTTGGTATTGTTGAGTTCAACTATATCCTTACTGATTTTCTGCCTATGGGATCTGTCTCTTTCTGTTAGAGGGGTACTGACATCCAACTGTGGTAGTGGAATCACTATCACTTTCTCCTTGTAGTCTATTAGTTTTTGCCTCATGTAGTATGGCACTCTGTTTTAGGCATATACACATTAATAATTATGTCTTGTTAAGAAAACCCAGAGTGTTGGTTACCTTTGTGTGATTGGCATTACACAGGTGTATGCATTTGTCAAGTAATTGAATGGAAAATTTTTAATTTGCGTATGTCACTGCACATAAATTTTTACCTAAATAAAACCATAAGCTAGTTTAAAAAAAAGAATTATGTCTTCTTGGACAACTGACCACTTTCTTATTATGTAATGCTCTTCTTTATCCCTGTAATCTTCTTTACTTTGACGTCTGCTCTGTTTGAAATTAATATAGCTACTCTTGCTTTCTTTTGATTAATGTTGGCATAGTATATTTTTCTCTACCCATTTACTTTTAATCTATATGTATCTTTGTATTTAAAAGGTTTTCAATAGAAAAATATAGTTGGGTAGTAGTTTTTGATCCACTCTGAAAATCTCTCTTTTAATTGGTACATTTAGACCATTGATAGTCAATGTGATTATTGGTATAATTGGATTAATATCTACCCTATTCGTTAGTGTTTTTTGTTGCCCTTGTTCTTTGTTCTGATAAGAATTGATTCAGGTATTTATTGATTTCTGCTCATATTTTCAAACTTCCACTAAATCATATTTCCATTATTTTTTCAATTACTACATAGCATAATTACATTATCACAATTGCATAATCACATTATCTTGGAGAAAACTTCCCTTTATGAAAACAGTAAATTTCTAGATTACTTCTGGATATTTATTACGCTTTAATGTCTCAATAACATACCTTTTACTCAAATCCTGAATTTTGTTGATATTCTTAAATGCTATTACTGGGTTTTATTTTATAATACAATTTTTAAAAACCTTACTAAAAACATATTTCAATCATATTATAATTATTTGCCTGACAGGGAAGAAAACAATGTTCACTGAGCACCTAATATGCATCATGTTGGTGCTGGCTCCCCACACATCACTGAAAAAAACTGTTGATAAGAACAAAGTCTGTTATTTACCATAATAATGGACACCACCACTTCTCAAAGTTTTGGCAGTGTTTCATAGTGGGGAAGAAGTCAATATTTGTTTATATTTATTTAATTAAATATTTAATTTTTAAATACATTTTAAAGTTTTATATAACACATTTTAAAGTTTTATATTACAGAAAAATTCAGACATATAAAAAATAATTAAATATAATCAACCCACATATACCATCATCTACCTACAATTACCATCATTTGCCTTTCTTGTATCTCCTATAACTTCACCTTACACCTAACCCCTCATAAATTATATTTTTTTGCTTATATACATACCTATATAATGAATATATACATACCTATATAATGAAATGTGCATATCTTAACTGTGAATTCCATCTTATTAAGACATAGATCTTCTCAAATCAAACCAGAATATTTCTTCTAACAAGTGAATTCAGTCAACATGGCATGCCATTCCCTTACCCCTCACCTACTTCTTGCCTGCAAAAGTCAATTAAAAAATTGTTTTCATTGTTGATTAGTTTCACCTATATGAATTCATGTAATGGAGTTATGCAGTCTGTACTTCTTTGTGTCCAACTACTTTCCCTCAGCATAATGTTTGTGAAATCTATCGAAGTTGCTGTGTGTACCATTGATTTTTGTCCAGTTTATTTCAGTAAAAATAAATATATACTAATGAACCAAATGGTTAAAATTAATTAATGTTAATCACTTCCAATTTTGCATGTGATTTTTCTATTTAGTCTTTGCATAGATTCATCGTATTCTAGTTAGGACACTAGAATATCCACAGGTATATTGAGCATAATTTCATTGGTCTGAAATCTTAAAAATTTGAATACTTTTGTTTACTCTAATTCACTACCACATTATCTGTATCATATGATTTAGACTTTCCTAATTGTGTAAAAAATGTAATTTCCTAGCCATCAGAGTGAGTGGAGATAATGTATTTTATTATGTATTTTATTATGTGATGAATAATTGCTACTTCTTACCACAAAAGTTATACTTTTGCATATATAATAGTTATTTTAAATCTGGACTATTCGCTTATATTATAAATTTCAAAATACATTTTTTTTAAATAAAGATACACCTTTAGTTCACTATTCAACAACAACAAATACAGCTTGATTACAAAGCAATGATTACAATGATTAGAATAAAGCAATTGGATACCTTTAAGATAGTCACATTAGTTAAACTCTCATTTTGTTTTCTCAAATATTCCATTATTGGAATTGAGGAATGATAAAGTATTTTCCTTCTCAACAAAATCTATTTTGTAGTACATATTGATTAAACTAGAAGTTTTACCTAACAACATTTAAAATGATAAATGAAATGCTAATAGAACCATTCTTTCTTTAATCATTTATTGAGCTTCTAGTTTGTAAAAAAGTTTTAGACGAAGAAATGTTGATTTAAGATGGGTAAAATTAGATTCCTATAAGATCACAGGTAGTGAAGAAAACAGACTATAAAATGGTGTTATATACAGTCTCTAAAAAGGCAGTGGAAAAACACTGGAGCACTGAGTAACATACTCTAGTTTCTTGGGTGATATTTGTTGAAAGTAGTGGGAGTAGGAAAGTCAAGAAATGTGTAAAAGGGAATCTAAATATTTAACTTTTAAGACTAAATTTTTAAATAAAAATAAGGGGTTGCCAGACAGTTGAGGACTGTACCTATATGTAGGCATATCTTTATATATCTTTATGTATGTATATAAGGGTGTGGATTTCATGATCCTTTTTAGAAAAATAGAAAATTAGGTTTGGATGAGAAAATATACTGGTACATAATTACTGATAGTCTGAATAATCTAGAGGCTTAATCTTTGGAAATTGGGTCCATAATAACATGATAGAATTTAGTCAGACTTAACCACAATAATGATAATTAATCATTAATTAGTAGAACCAGAGAGGCAACCGTTCAAGGCTCATAAATTTAATAGCAGGACATCCTTGAGCCCAGGGTTTGGTGTAAAGATATGGCACAGGGTAAGGTTGGGCCTACACAAGTGATGTTGAGCCCATTACTCTGAAGATTGCAGTGATGCAGAGGGAAAGATTCAAGCTGGTTCATATTTAAATTTGTAAGTAAACAATGCATTTGCACTGAGCAAATATTAGATACTTGATTTTATTCAGCAAATTGGGAAAGTGCTGTTAGAAAGAGTAAAGTTTAAACATTAATATTAATTTATAAATATGATACCTAAAAAGGTTTTTCTTTCTAATAACAGGCCTTATACATGCCAGGTAAGAATAAATACATGCCAGGTTCTGTTATAGTTCATAACATGTTTTTTTAATGAGTACAATTGCTTGAGAACTGAAAGAAAGGCTATTGGAAACAGCTAAGGACCATTATCTAGAACTCATATGACAGGTACTGAACAAGGCACTCTATGCATCATTATCTTAATTCATTTACAGAATAACTGAAGGACATATATATAGTTAATATCTATAGTGTTACAGATATGAAAGTTGAATTGGAAAAGGTTATTAACTCACCAATATCACACAGTTAGTTTGGCAGCAATGGGAATCCTTGAGATTTCAACCTTCAGATATAAAGAAAAGTAAAAGTGAAGACGTAATATTGCCACAATAAAGGCTAGTTTACTAGAATACATTAAATATGGCCACAGTTTCTTTGCAGATCTACCCACAAATAAGTAAAATCTATTTCCATGCTCCTTGAATCTGGCCTATCATTGTAACTTGCTTTGGCCAATAATGACTGACAATGTTTCACAACCTCACTTTATACCCATTTGCAACACCACCCTGCATCCATCTTGCCATGAAGAACCAAGGATAAAAGACCTAAGAGATAAAGAGAAAGAAGCCCAGTCACACAATCTCATCTAGTAAAGACCTGCTCCCAGCCTAACTGAAAGCAAGAAAGACACTTCCCAACCAATCCCCAGAATCATGAGAAATAATCAATCATTATAGAGCCCAAAATTTGGGGATGGTTCATTAGCATCTATCAATAACTGAAACAATCATTTTTAAGAGTTGGGAATTTAAATAAAGTAGCAAAGAAATCTAAGCATGATTTCAATAGAGACAATCTGAGTTATAAAGTGAAAGTGGAATTACAAGATGTATGTATTTATTATTTATTAGAAGCAACTACTTCAGGGTGATTGAGGGAGTTAAAGAAGATGAGATATTTTATCCCACCTTCACTTCTATAGTAACCCAGTGTATGAGATTATTAAAAATTAAACAGCAACTTATGGTTTTGCTTTCAACAAAATAAAAATTGTATACATATATGCTGTTTTAAAAAACTGAAATTGTTTTTGCAACAAACTATTATTATTTTTGCAACAAACTTATTATTTGGGGAAATTATAGAGAAATGTTTTTATATAAACTGGTTCTAATGAAGAATTTTTAAGAATTTCCATTTTATTTTAGATTATGCTAATATTCTAGATCAGTTTAGGCTGAATTATACAAAATAATTTACTCATGTGTGAAAAGTAAAAAATAAATACAATAAATAATTATAGAAATATGAAAGAATATTGAGGAATCAAGAATCATTATATCACATCATTATAGACTGCCCTGTTTTATTCATTCTTTACTCACTTGACATTAGAAAAATATTAAATAATTAAAATCTTAAATGGATTAAAATTATAACCCAAAGTAATTATTATTAGAGTACATTTTAAAATATATTATTTTAAAATATATTATTTACTAACAGATTGGAATGTCACCTGTGTCTTCCTGGATATCAAATCTGACTGGCAAATGTTTTTCAAAAAACTGCTTACCAGACCTACCAGAATGAAGCTGTCTCAGAACAGTGTTGAAATTTGTATTTTTTCAGTGAGTTGACTAAAATACAGAATATTTTAATTACTCAGATTATTAAAATGACATCTATCATTATATCTGGAAGTTAGTACACAAGATAATGACAAACATTTAAATATATTTAATTAAGTTATACTAATGAGCTAACATCTAATGTGCTTGCTGTAATCTTACTAAGCAGTACCTCTGTTTAAACTAGTTTTCCTTAAGAGAAACTATTGGTTTCCCTCTAGAAAAGAAAATCTTATTTTAACATGGTATAGCATTGGTTTTATGTATATAATCTGTGTATAAATATATGTATATATATATATATTTATATAAAGATTCCAAATAGAAGGAAAATAAATAAATGTTCGCATATTAGAAAATGAGCAATGGGACCAAATTTTGTAGGTTAGTGAAAGTGGGTTGAACATTAAATCTAACATTTGTAAAGCACTTAGAACAGTTACTGATACATATGAAGTGATATATATACATATTTGTGAAAGTAAATTCCAGAACAATACATAGAATAGGAAATGAAATGTTTAAGAAAGCTATTCCTGCATTTATGTATAAAGAAGTTTAAGCAATAAAATGTAACTATAGAGACTTTCGTATAATCCATTTATGAGGTAAAACAGAATATATTCAATCAGATAATATCCCTTATTATAAAAAACTACCTCGAAGTTCAACTAGAATTGTTTTGTTTAGAATTCCAAGTAAATGTTGGTTTAGTAAAAATTAAATTTTGAATTAAGAAAATTGGACAATAAGGTAAAAATATTGAATTATGGAATAAGCCACTGAAACTAAGATAATGTTAAATATAATTGATTTGTTGACTGTGGTATCAACAGCTGTAAAACAAACACAGGGACAACCTGCCTATTAAAGGTAAAGAAATTTTGATGCACAAGCTGGAAAAATTCAAGTAAATCATTATAATTTTGCTATTACTTGAAAACTTTATGATTTAAAGTCACATAACAGGAAGCACAGATGGGAGCAATGATAACGAACATGTAAACATTTCCACTTGAAACAGATTAAGTTCAGTAATCATGTTGAACTTCTAGAGGACAAGCATTCTTTCTAACCAGTAGAAGCAGCCTGCCTGCCTTTTAGTGATAAATGCTCTGATTTTTTGTGTCATTGCATCTCATTTCAAATGTTGGCAGGATGTAATAATTTGATAATAAATGAAAAAATCTTTAAGTGCAGGGTTGGATGCAAACAGCAATTGGTAATCTTCCATATTTACTTCATTCCATTTGTAGTTACACTTGTAATCAAGAAGGGAGTAAAGCACTGATATTTGGGCAGACACATCAGGATAACCTCAAAAATATTAGGAGCTGGGCCAGGCCAGAATCTGATCTGCCTCCATAGCTCCCACAGCGGGTCCAGATGCACAAGTACTGAAGTCCTGGGATCTGACCTTATGGATCTGTGCCAGTGGCCTGGTGAAAACAGTGCCTGAGACTCCCAGGGCCAATTGCCAGTATGACCATGGTTAAGGTGGGACCAAGAGCAGTGCCAACAACAGTGTACTTTGTGAGCCTGCACAAAGGACAAAAGGTGACACATAGAGCACATTCACAGGTGAACAACTCCAGAGGAGGAATACTCAGTGGCTTCTCTCCCAGTGGGAGTGCTCCAATCCCACCTACCTTGCACCACAGATCAGAAACACAGCTAAGAAACAGCTCTGGGGGCCTCTAGTCCAACAACTAGGGAGCAGACCCCACCCCTGAAAAGGGCAGTGACAACCACAGAGCAAAGAAGAGGGCTTGCTCAATATCCAGGGCAGGCTCTGGTCACCACAACACCAGTCAAACTCCCTATCAAGGGAATAACAGCACAAGCCTCTGGACCAACCTCACCCACCAGGGTGCAGACACCATAAGCAAGAGGAACTATGATCCTGCAGACTGTGGGAAGGAGACAATGAACACAGTAAGTTAGACAAAATGAGATGATAAAGAAATATGTTGCAGATGAAGGAGCAAGATAAAAACCTACAACAACTAAATGAAGAGGAGATAGGCAATCTACAGCAATCTACCTGAAAAAGAAATCAGAGTAATGGTAGTAAACATGGTCCAAGATCTTGGAAAAAGAATGGAGACATGGATCAAGAAGATACAAGAAGTGTTTAACAAAGACCTGTGAGAACTAAAGAACAAACAAACAAACAATACAATGACTGATATGAAAAAAACACTAGAAGGAATCAGTAGCAAATACTAGAAGGAATCAGTAGCAGAATAACTGAGGCAGAACAACAGATAAGTGACCTGGAAGACAGAATGATGGAAATCACTGCCATGGAACAGAATAAAGAAAAAAGAATGAAAAGAAATGAGGACAGTCTCAGAGACCTCTGGGACAACATTTAAATGCACCAACATTCGAATTATAGGGGTCCCAGAAGAAAGAGAGAAAGGGCCTGAGAAAATATTTGAAGATATTATAATCAAAAACTTCCCTAACATGGGAAAGGAATTAGTCACCAAGGTCCAGGAAGCACAGAGTTCCATACAGCATAAACCCAAGGAGGAACATGCCAAGACATATATTAATCAAACTAACAAAAATTAAATACAAAGAAAAGCAACAAGGGAAAATAAATAAATAAACATACAAGGGAATCCCCATAAGGTTATCAGCTGATTTCTCAGCAGAAACTCTGCAGGCCAGAAGGGAGTGGCATGATATATTTAAAATGATGAAAGGGAAAAACCTACAACCAATAATACTTTATCCAGCAAGGCTCTCCTTCAGATTCAACAGAGAAATCAAAAGATTTACAGGTTAGCAAAAGCTAAGAGAATTCAACACCACCAAACCAGCTTTACCACAAATTCTGAAGGAACCAATAGAGAAGAAAAAGACCTACAAAAACAAATCCAAAACAATTAAGAAAATGGCACTAAGAACATACATATCGATAATTACCTTAAATGTAAATGGATTAAATGCTCCAAAAGACAAAAACACTGGCTGAATGGATATAAAAACAAGACCCAAATATATTTTTTCTACAGGAAACCCACTTCAGATCTAGGGAAAGATACAGACTGAAAGTGAGAAGATGGAAAAAGATATTCCATGCAAATGGAAATCAAAAGAAAGCTGATATAAGCAATACTCATATCAGACAAAATAGACTTTAAAATAGACTGTTACAAGAGACAAGGAAGGACACTACATAATTATCAAGGGATAAATCCAAGAAGAAGACATAACAATTGTAAATATATATGCACCCAACATAGGTGCCCCTCAGTATGTAAGGCAAATGCTAACAACCATAGAAGGGGAAATTGACAGTAACACAATAATAGTGTGGGACATTAACACCCCACTTATACCAATGGATAGATCATAATATTTAATAGGAAACACAAGCCTTAAATGACACACTAGACCAAATAAATTAATTGATGTTTATAGGACATTCCATCTGAAAGCAGAAGAATACATTTTCCTAAGTATACACAGAACTTTCTCCAGGATACATCACATCTTGGCTCACAAATCAAGCCTTGGTAAATTTAAGAAAATTGAAATCATATCAAGCAACATCTTGAAACACAACCTTATGAGATTAGAAATCACGACAGGAAAAAAAAACTATACAAAACACAAACACATGGAGGTTAAATAATATGTCACTGAATAATCAAGGATCACTAAAGAAATCAAAGAGGAAATCAAAAAATACCTAGAGACAAATGACAACAAAAACACAACAATCCAAAACCTATGGGATGAAGCAAAAGCAGTTCTAAGAGGGAAGTTTATAGCAATACAATCCTACATCAAGAAACAAGAAAAATATCAATCTAACCTTACACCTAAAGCAACTAGAGAAAGAAGAACAAACAAAACCCAAAGTTAGTAGAAGGAAAGAAATCATAAAGATCAGAGCAGAAATAAATGAAATAGAAACAAAGAAAACAATAGCAAAGATCAATAAGACTAAAAGCTGGTTCTTTGAGAAGATAAACAAATTTGATAAACCATTAGCCAGACTCATCAAGAAAAAAAGGGAGAGGACTCAATAAAATTAGAAATGGAAAATGAAAAAGTTACAACAGACACCACTGAAATAGAAAGGATCATAAAAGACTACTACAAGCAACTATGTGCCAATAAAATGGACTGCCTAAAAGATAGGGACAAATTCTGAGAAAGGTACAACCTTCCAAGGCTGAACCAGGAAGAAATAGAAAATATGAACAGACCAATGACAGTACTGAAATTGAAACTGTGATTAAATAACTTCCAGTAAACAAAAGGCGAAGACCAGATGGCTTCACAGGTGAATTCCATCAAACAGTTAGAGAAGAGCTAACACCTACCCTTCTCAAACTCTTCTAAAAAATTGCAGATGAAGGAACACTCCCTAGCTCATTCTATGAGGCCACCATCACCCTGATACCAAAACCAGACACAGACACCCCCCC